GTCCGGCCGGGCGCGGTGCGCTTCAAGCCTTGTTAATCCCAGCCTTTGGGAGGGCCAAGACGGGCGGATCACGAGGGTCAGGAGATCGAGGGACCATCCTGGCTAACACGGTTAAACCCCGTCTGTACTAAAAAAAACTATAAAAACAGCCGGGCGAGGTGCAGGCGCCTGAGTCCCAGCTACTCGGGAGGCTGAAGGGTAGAGAGAACTCGGCGTGAACCGGGGAGCGCGGAGCTGCAGTGAGCTGAGATCCGGCCAGCATGCCCCAGCTGGGCTGACCAGAGCGAGACTCGTCTCTAAAAAAAAAAAAAAAAAAAAAAAAGAAAACCGAAGTGACCCCACTTACATAATTAGAAATTTAAATTTATGGATATAAATGTTCACCAGGGAAAATATCACCAACAAAAACAAAACAGAAACAATGTCCTAGCTTAGCTTAGGGGCTGGGACTCTGGCCTTAGGTGACCCTCTAACTCAAGATAGTGCAAGAGTTGGAGATGAAATCCCAAGTTTTTGTTGGGTTTCAATGTTTGAGGAATACTACTCTTTTTTTTTTTTTTTGAGACGGAGTCTTGCTCAGTCGCCCAGGCTGGAGGGCAGTGGTGCAATCTCGGTTCACTGTAAGCTCCACCTCCCGGGTTCACACCATTCTCCTGTCTCAGCCTCCTGAGTAGCTGGGACTACAGGCGCCCGCCACCATGCCTGGCTAATTTTTTTTGTATTTTTAGTAGAGACGGGGTTTCACAATGTTAGCCAGGATGGTCTCGATCTCCTGACCTCGTGATCCACTGCACCCGGCCTTTTTTTTTTTTTGAGATGGAGTCTTGCTCTGTCGCCGTGCTGGATTGCAGTGGCGCAATCTCTCTCAGCTCACTGCAACCTCCGCCTCCTGGCTTCAAGCAATTCCCCTGCCTCAGTCTCCTGAGTAGCTGGGACTACAGGCACACACCACCAGGCCTGGCTAATTTTTTTTTGTATTTATTAGTAGAGACTGGGGTTTCACCATGTTGGCCAGGATGGTCTCAATCTCCTGACCTTGTGATCCACCCGCCTCGGCCTCCCAAAGTGCTGGGATTACAGGCATGAGCCACCATGGCCGGCCAGGAATACTACTCTTATACAAGCACTGCCTTTAGCTCTGCTTTAAGACTTCCAAGAACTGATCTCTCCTTGACCCAGCCTTAGCCTACGACGGCACCAGCCCTACCATGGTACTCTTAAGACCCCTCCCTACCCCGTGTCCCATGGTTGTTACAGCTACCCACTGATTTCAGGCTGGCTGAGGTCACAGCAAAATGTCCCTTCTACAGCAACATGAGCCCTGGAGAGCAATACCCGGTGCAGCCTGACACACTCAAATAGAAATCTAATGTGAATTCACATGGAAAACCTCACTCACCCCCAGGTCACATAAGGTTCCACTATACGCAGCATTTTTAGGTTCTGGGGGGTGACTTTTACAAAGACACCACTAAAAATTTTCTTTAGGCGAAGTCTTGCAATGGTTCTCTGCACCAATAAACTCACGCCATCAATCCTGAAATGAACAGCAACAGAAGTCAGACAGACTCCCTCCAGTTTATGTCAGTCCAGCAAGCACAACATGCGAGGTCACTACACTGGGTAATCTGGAGTAAGACACAGAGACTGTGCCTTAAAAAGCTCAGTTTAGTGGGAGGGAGTTATGAAAACCAATCCTTTCATGATGTGGAGCAATGCCTGGAATGCTATGGAAACACAGAGACAGTCCCTGAACTTGTGTGTGTTTCAGGGGCTGAGGGAGTGGTGGTATGCAGGTCTACGCATGTCCAGCTAAGGAAGCTGGATATGCTTTTACGGGCAGTAAAAGCTACTGAAGATTTTAAGTAGAAGAGACAAGACCAGATTTCTTTCTGACAATCACCAAGGGCAGTGTATGGGATAGATCACAGTATGACACTAGAGGCAAGGAAATCCAGGAGGAAGGTTAATACAATAGTTTAGGAAAAATACGAGCAGTGGTAGAAGGCTACAAAGGACAGCTCATAAAAATATGCAAAAGTCACAGATTTCTGGTTTGGGTGATTGGGTAGGGGAAACAGCAAGTAGAGTTGCACATGAGGTGGGCAGGGGGTTGCGAAAATTCCACTAACTGAGGAAAAATGTCTCCCCTTCACTGAATATGCTTCATCCACTCAGCCTTGTTTCAGTTCCTAGAATGATGTCTTGCTTTCCCCACCTCAGGACTTCAGCACATATGCCTGGAAAGTCTCCCAACACTGGTGAACGCCTTTCACATCTTTCAGGTCTCAGGTAGAAGTTCCTGCTTTAGAGAGGGTGTCCTCAACCCCTTCTCCCTAGTGAGCACTTATTTTCAAGTCTATCTGTCTAAGGTCTTCCAAATATTGCAGACTAAATTGTGCTCTACCCTGACATCCCAGCATGACTTGGCTGAGTGGCTTGGGGCTTATCATCTCCCTAGAAAGGAGTCTAAAGCTTAAGCAACGGTTTGCCCCAGCCTCATGCAATTAGAAAGACACCAGTTCCTTACCTTTCCATGCGTACAACAAAGGCCAAGGAATGTTTGTCTGGCAATTCCAAGGCATGAGGTTTCACTTCTAGTCGTCTGAGACGCACCTTGTCACGTTTCTGCCGCCAGGAATCATGTAGGAATGATTCCAGTCGCTTAAACCTGAGCCCTTTTCCTTTCCTCTGCTACAGAGAAGACAGACCATCATTATCATCTTTTGCTTCCATACATTTTTACTTTTAGAACAGTAATTCATGAGTGACAACTGATAGAGCTTATTTCCCCGTGTTCTACAATGCAGGGCAAAGCAATATTCTCTATTTTCATATAAGGGAAAAATGAGAAACCAAGGTAAAGGTGGAGTTGAGTAAACTTGGGAATTACTGGGAAAAATAATTAACAAACAAAAAATTAGTTTGCATGATACTAATCAATGCTTACTAACAAGTTTCCTTAAACTCAACGCCAGCATTTGCCTGCAGGTGTTAAATATTTGCTAAAGGAAGACATACACCATATACACTTGGTGCTCTGCATCTGTGATTTAACCAACCCCAGATGGAAAATACTTCTGAGGAGCACATACACAGTGGCTCACCTGTAGTCCCAGCTACTCAGGAGGCTGAGGCAGGAGGTTCTCTTGAACCCAGGAATTCAAGGCTGCAATGAGCTATGATCCTGCCACTGCACTTAGTCTGGGTAACAGAATACCTCACTCCTTTTTTTCTTTTTTTTGAGATGGAGTCTCGCTCTGTCACCCAGGCTGGAGTGCAGTGATGCGATCTCGGCTCACTGCAACCTCTGCCTCCTGGGTTCAAGCAATTTTCCTGCCTCAGCCTCCCAGGTAGCTGGGATTACAGGTATGCGCCACCACACCTGGCTAATTTTTATGTTTTTAGTAGAGATAGGGTCACCTTGTTGGCCAGGTTGGTCTCGAACTCCTGACTTCAGGTGATCCACCTGCCTCAGTCTCCCAAAGTGCTGGGATAACAAGCGTGACCCACCATACCCGGCCAAAGACCCCACTTTTTTTTTTTTTGAGACAGGGTCTCGCTCTGTCACTCAGGCTGGAGTGCAGTGGCACAATCTTGGCTCACTGCAACCTCCGCCTCCCGGGTTCAAGCGATTCTTCTGCCTCGCTTCCTGAGTAGCTAGGATTACAGGCACATGCCACAGTGCCCGTCTAATGTTTTGTATTTGTAGTAGAGATGTGGTTTCACCATGTTGGCCAGGCTGGTCTCGAACTCCTGACCTCAAGTAATCCACCTGCCTCAGCCTCCCAAAGTATTGGGATTACAGGCGTGAGCCACTGCGCCCCGCTGACCTCTTAAAAAAAAAAAAAGAAAAAAAAAAAGAAAAAAAATTCGGGAAAAAAATGAAAAAAAAAATACAGTAAAAAGTAATACAAATTTTAAAAATACATTATGTACACTGTATTAGCTATCAGTAACCCAGGCCAGGCAGGGTGGCTCAGGTCTATAATCCCAGCACTTTGAGAGGCCAGTGGGTGGATCACTTGAGGCCAGGAGTTTGAGACCAGCATGGCCAACATGTTAAAACATCTCTACTAACAATACAAAAATTAGCCGGTGGCCATGTGGGGTGGCTGATGCCAGTAATCGCAGCACTTTGGGAGGCCGAGGTGGGTAGATCACTTGAGTCCATGAGTTCCAGACCAGCCTGGTCAACATGGTGAAACCTCGTCTCTACTAAAAATACAAAAATTAGCAGGGCATGGTGGCACATCCTTGTAATCCCAGCTACTTGGGAGGCTGGCGCAGGAGAATCGCTTGAACCTGGGAGGCGGAGGTTGTGGTAAGCCGAGATCACATCCCTGTACTCCAGCCTGGGAGACAGGTGAGACTCTGTCTCAAAAACAAAACAAAATTAAATTAAAAAAAAAAAATTAGCCGAGTGTGATGGCTAATTTAGCTAAAATTAGTCACATGCCTGTAATCCTAGCTACTTGGTTGACTGAGGCACGAGAATTGCTTGAGCCCAGTAGGCAGAGGTTGCAGTGAGTCGAGACTGTGTCACTGTACTCCAGAACACAGTGAGACTCTTGCCTCAAAAAAAAAAAAAAAAAAGCTATTAAGTAATCCAAAGAGAATTTACATTACATAGGCGGAAGGAGTACAGATGATATGCAAATACTACAACCATTTTATATAAGGGACTTCAGCAGTCTCAGATTTAGGCATCTGTGGGAGTCCTGGAACCAACCCCCTAAGGACACTGAGAGACAACGATACCTGGTTTGTCAAACTGTTGCGGGGAGCTCGTAAATACCAAATGTAGTCCAACACATGCTGGATAAAACTCACCTAATACAAATTCTAATTACTTTATTTTGGTTCCCCACCATTACCTCCTTCTTTGCCAAAAGTGCCTGCTTTGCCTGGGTGGCTTTGAGGGCTTGATAAGCCTTCCTCTTTTTCAGCAGATTTTCTGGAACCAAAGGGATTTTTCTTTGCCTGATGCAGAAAATTGAGATCAGAGATAACATTTAGAAAACGAATACTTGGCTGGGCGCGGTGGCTCAAGCCTATAACCCCAGCATTCTGGGAGGCCGAGGTGTGCGGGGGGGGGAATCACCTGAGGTCAGGAGTTCGAGACCAGCCTGACCAACATGGTGAAACCCCCGTTTCTAGCAAAAATAAAAAATCAGCTTGGCGGGGTGGCGCACGCCTGTAATCTCAGCTACTCCGGAGGCTGAAGCAGGAGAATCGCTTGAATCCGGGAGGCGGTGGTTGCAGTGAGCCAAGATTGCGACACTGCACTCCAGCCTGGGCGACATAGCAAGACTCCGTCTCAAAACAACAACAACAACAAAGAAAACGAACATTCAATGGATTTCCAAACCAAGTCAATATCCTGGGCTTCAGGGAACATTACTGTTTTCAAGTGTCTGAAGAAAGATTCCCCTGAAACCTGCGGTTTCTGACTCCAGGCCTCAAAATGTACCCCTAATATTCACTCATCCCCAATGCCTCAAAAAGTAATGAACCCTTTAGCCTCTGCGTTCCTGTAAATTAACAGGATTTTCACTGCCACAGCTCTTCATAGGCACTAGCAGCGACGAATCTAGTAAAACACCATGGGGTTGGGGTGGGTGCAGACCTGTCTGCAGGGTTAATACTTGTCAGGCTGGGTGAATTCAACTGTGGCACTCCAGCCCGCTGCCTGAAGTCAATCCTCGCCTCTCTAGATAACCCGAAATTGACCGCGGTCCCCTCCCTCCTCCGCCACAGCGCTACGGCTCCTCATCCCCACCCTTTGTAAACTGTGGCCTTTTCTATTCCTAGAGCCCACAAGAATCCGCCACCGAGGCATAAACACCGTGGATGGCACCAGATACTCAACACCCAATTCCAGATATTCAAAGCCCCACTCACTCTTGCTCCGCCATCTTTCTAGTGGTGCAGCTACTGATCATGCGCAACCCCAACACATGGGGAAGACAGCACTCGCTCTGTTTCCTTGACCATAGAGATGTCTGTTCTAACTCACGCTGGAGGACCCAGACAGTCAGCGTTCACTTAGCCGCAGTGAGCCGCTGAGGTCCTGCTAACCCCGATTCCTGCCAAAAGTTGCAGCGCTTCCAGGGTTTTTAGAGCCTGTATCATTTTCAAAACCCAGCCCTTTTTTTGGTAAGTTACAGTTTCATCACAAACAGCTTCGCTGTGGACAATAAAGTGCTTCCCACAATGCACCTATGGCGTCCGCTCTAGCGAAGGCGCCGTACTTCCGGCGCGGCTCTGCTGCGTCTCTGAGGAGGAAGACAGAAAAATTGCACGGAACCTTTTCGCTCTGTGGAAAAATTTGGAGGCTATGGTTTTGGCTCTCACATGTAGGTGCAAGTGTTTGTTGAGGACTTAGAGTGGTAAAACAGGTAGCTGCGATTCCGTCTGCTTTGCTCCGTCGATGGATCCTTGAAGACGTTATTTAACCCCTCTGTACTGCGGCTTCATTACCCATAAAATGGGTATACAGTAATAATAGGTCTACCTAATGGCGTTACGAGGATTACAGGAGATTATATAAAGCGTAAAGCGTTTAGCAGTGTCTGTCAGCACTATGTTTGTTACTATTACTGCTGGACCGAAAACTACAACTTGCTTCCTTGCCATCTAAAACCGTTATACAGACCGGGCGCGGTGGCTCACGCCTGTAATCCCAGCACTTTAGGAGGCCAAGGCGGGAGGATCACCTTAGGTCAGGAGTTCGAGACCAGCCTGGCCAACATGGCGACAGAGCAAGACTCCGTCTCAAAAAAAAAAAAAAATCAGTTCTCTATGACGGCAGGGCACCTGTCTAGTGCATTCAAATATGGTAATAAAAAAAAAAAAAAAAAAGGAATGAAAATAAAACCCTTATACAGCTGTCATCACCTGGAATGTGCGTTCTTCCCTCCCGGTCTATATAAAATCCTGAAAAAGTAGGCCGGAGCCGGTGGCTTTCACCTGTAATCCGAGCACTTTGGGAGGCCGAAGCAGGTGGATCACTTGAGGTCAGGAGTTGGAGACCAGCCTGGCCAAGATGGTGAAACCCCGTCTCTACTAAAAATACAAAAAATTAGCTGGGCGTGGTGGCTCGCGCCTGAAGTCCTGGGAGGCGGAGGCTGCATGAGCCCAGTTTGTGCCACTGCACTCCAGCCTGGGCGACAGAGCGAGAGTGTCTCACAAAAATAAAAAAATAATTTTTTAAAATTAAAAATCCTGAAAAACAACACAGGTCTTATCTCCGCAAACCTCCAGAGCAGTGCTTCTCAAGCATTAATAGTGAATAGGAGTCTTCTGAAGATTTTACTAAAATACAGATTTTTATTCAGGAAGCCGGGTGGGGAGTTGATATTCTGCATCTTTTTTTTTTTTTTTTTTTTTTGAGATGGAGTCTTGCTTTGTCCCCCAGGCTGGAGTGCAGTGGCATGATCTCGGCTCTCTGCAAGCTCTGTCTCCCGGGTTCACGCCATTCTCCTGCCTCAGCCTCCCGAGCAGCTGGGACTACAGGCTCCCACCACCATAACCGGCTAATTTTTTGAATTTTTCGTAGAGACGGTTTCACCGTGTTAGCCAGGATGGTCTCAATCTCCTGACCTTGTGATCTGCCCGCCTCGGCCTCTCAAAGTGCTGGGATTACAGGCGTGAGCAACCGCGCCTGGCCAATATTCTGCATTTTTAACAGGCTTCAGAATGACACTGGTGCTACTGGTCTATGGGCTGACTAGTAAGACTCTAGTGTCTGATTTCCCTCAGGACATTATTATATATTTAATATTTCTTCCACACGATACTAGGAGGGCAGGAACCATGACTGCTTGCTCATCACTGATCCTAAGGGTCTAGCACCAATTTCTCGATTTTGGCACTATTGATACTGATACTGGTGGCAGCTAAAGGCCTCGTGTTGCCATGTAGCTAGTCCAACCGGAAAGACTGCCATGGGCACAGGTCACTTTCTGATGAATAAGTGTCAGGACAACCCAGTATTCAGGGTCACACACTGAAAGAGGGAGGCTCATTCTCTTTCAGCACCTCACCGTGTGTCTTTGTAAAGAGGCAAAATACAAGGGTCATCAAAGTGTAAGACATTCACTAACTAGTAAACAAAAAAGCAAAAAGTTAAATGTTTTGTGATTTTTCCTGTCTATGGATAAAAGGTAGAGTCTGTGGTATCAATAATATTAAAGGGAGGAGGAATTTTAGGGTTAACAATACTCCAGCCGGGCCCCCATGGCTCACACCTGTAATCCCAGCACTTTGGGAGGCTGAGGCGGGCAGATCACTTGAGCTCAGGAGTTCAAGACCACCCTCAGCAACACGGCAAAACCCTGTCTCTACTAAAAATATAAAAATTAGCCAAGCATGGTGGCACATGCCTGTAGTCCCAGCTACTTGGGAGGCTGAGGCACGATAATTGCTTGAACCTGGGAAGCAGAGGTTGCAGTGAGCCGAGATTATGCCACTGTACTCCAGCCTGGGCAACAGAGCCAGAATCTGTCTCAAAACAACCCCCAAAAAACCAGTACTGCAAGGCTGAATGGGATTGAGGCCAGGATTCAGCAAATGGTTTTCTACTGCCAGCAGATGGTGCTAGGAGAATACTTATTCTCAGCGCCAACGCCATTACTCCACCAGACTGACACAGGGAAAAAGAAAAGAGCCCCACTCTTAAACAATTATTCACTAACTCAATATGTGTTTACTGAGCATTGAGCATGTGTCCTAGATCTTTTTTTCAAAGTGAGGTTACTGAGGTCGGGTGTGGTGGCTCATGCCTGTAATCCTAGCACTTTGAGAGGCTGAAGCAGGCAGATCACCTGAGGCCAGAAGTTCAAAACCAGCCTGACCATCATGGTGAAACCCCATCTCTACTAAAAATACAAAAATTAGCTGGGTGTGATGGTGCATACCTGTAATCCCAGCTACTTGGGAGGCTGAGGCACAAGAATTGCTGCACTCCAGCCTGGGTGACAGAGTGAGACCCTGTCTCAAAAAAAAAAAAAAAAAAAAAAAAATTCCAATCGTCTTGTGAACTTATCTCTTCTTCATCATGTACAGTTGGGTGGCTGTTGGGAGGATACCAAATCCGAACGTTTCCCTTTAATACTTAAAGTAAAGGAGTCTTTGGAAGATCTTTTCCATTCTTTTAATCACCCTGTTGGGAGTGGGTATGAGATGCTAAATTTCTCTGTGATTTTTTGACATTTGAGGCAGGTAGTGGATGATGGAACAAAGTATGAGATTTTGAGACAAGACTTTTTTTTTTTTTTTTTTTTTTTTTTTAGACAAAGTTCTTTGCTCTGTCGCCCAGGCTGGAGTGCAATGTACAATCTTGGCTTACTGCAACCTCTGCTCCCGGGTTCAAGCAATTCTGTGCTTAGCCTCCGCCTCCAGAGTAGCGCTGCGGACTACAGGCATGTGCCACCACACCTGGCTAATTTTTGTATTTTTAGTAAAGACGGGTTTCACCATATTGGCCAGACTGGTCTTGAACTCCTGACCTCAAGTGATCTGCCCACCTTGGCCTCCCAAGGTGCTGGGATTACAGGTATGAGCCACTGCACCCAGTTGGGGGGCAAAACTTAAGGATTTCCACCTAAGAAGACCTCCTAGAGTTTCTTTGTCTCTATTCTTCTCAAGCCTGGTGGGTTCTTCAATGTTTTCTTTAATTCTTATTCTCCTTACAAAGTCCCTTTATGTTGGTTAACTAGAATAATTTTCTGTTGTTTACAACCAAATAATCCTGATTGTAATACTCCCAAACATTTGGGATACAGAATAGGGTGTAAAAAATGTTCCCAGATTGTTTGTGTGTGTGTGTGTGTGTGTGTGTGTGTGTGTTTGAGTTTTTGAGATGGAATCTCACTCTGTCGCCAGGCTGGAGTAGAGTAGCACTATCTCGGCCTACTGCAACCTCTGCCACCCGGGTTCAAGCAATTCTCCGGACTCAGCCTCTGAAGTAGCTGGGACTACAGGTGCACATCACTATGCCCGGCTAATTTTTGTATTTTTAGTAGAGATGGGGTTTCACCATGTTGGCCAGGATGGTCTCAATTTCCTGACCTCGTGATCCGCCTGCCTTGGCCTCCCAAAGGGCTGGGATTACAGGCATGAGCCACCGTGCCCAATCCCCAGATTGTTTTTCTTTTCTTTTTCTTTTTCTTTTTTTTTTTTAGAGTCTCGCTCTGTCGTCCAGGCTGGAGTGCAGTGGCACGATCTCGGCTCACTGCAACCTCCGCCTCCTGGGTTCAAGCCATTCTCCTGCCTTAGCCTCCCGAGTAGCTGGGATTACAGGTGCCCACTACCACGCCTGGGTAATTTTTGTATTTTTAGTAGAGACAGGGTTTCACCATGTTGGCCAGGCTGGTCTTGAAGTCCTGACCTCAGGTGTTCACCTGCCTCAGCCTCCCAAAGTGCTGGTATTACAAGCGTGAGCCACAGTGCCCGGCCAATTATAGGTATATTTGTATGTAACAATTTTGGAACCATATATGAAAAAGTGCTGATGGTGGTCTTTTTGGGAAATGGTAGTAGGGTCTGGAATCGGAGGAAAACTTCTACTTTGTGATATGCCCTTTGTTTACCACGTACGAATTAGTTTAAGAAAAAGCTCTGAGCCAGGTTGGTGGCTGACGTCTGTAATCCCAGCACTTTGGGAGGCCCAGGTGGGCAGATCACTTGAGCTCACAAATTTGAGACCTGCCTGGGCAACATGGTGAAACCACGTCTCTACAACAAATATAAAAATTAGGCTGGGTGTGGTGACTTACACCTGTAATCACAGCACTTTGGGAGGCCGAGGCAGGTGGATCACTTGAGACCAGGAATTTGAGACCAGCCTGAGCAACATGGCAAAACCCTGTTTCTACTAAAAATACAAAAAATTAGCCGAGCGTGGTGGTGCACACCTGTAGTCTCAGCTACTTGAGAGGCTGAGATGGGAGGATCGTTTTAGCCTGGAAGGGCAAGGCTGTAGTGAGCCAGATGTTGTCACTGCACTCCAACCTGGGCAACTGGAGTGAGACCCTGTCTCAGTAGTTAGATAGGTAGATAAATAGACAGATAGACAGACAGACATGGCCAGGCAAGGTGACTCACACCTGTAATGCCAGCACTTTGGGAGGCCGAGGTGGGTGGATCAATTGAGTTCAGGAGTTTGAGACGAGCCTGCCAACATGATGAAATCTCGTATCTGCTAAAAAAAATACAAAAATTATTTGGGTGTGGTGGTGGGTGCCTGTAATCCCAGCTACTCAGGAGGCTGAGGCAGGAGAATTGCTTGAACCTGGGAGATGGAGGTTCTGGTGAGTCGAGATTGCACCACTGCACTCCAGCCTGGGTGACAGAGTGACTCCATCTCAGGAAAAAAAAAAAAAAAATCTTGGCCGGGCATGGTGGCTCACGCCTATAATCCCAGCACTTTGGGAAGCCGAGGCGGGTAGATCATGAGGTCAGGAGATCAAGACCATCCTGGCTAACATGGTGAAACCCCGTCTCTACTAAAAATACAAAAAATTAGCCAGCCATGGTGGCACGTGCCTGGAGTCCCAGCTACTCCGGAGGCTGAGGCAGGAGAACTGCTTGAATCTGGGAGGCAGAGGTTTCAGTAAGCCAAGATCACACCACTGCACTCCAGCCTGGGTGACAGAGAGAGACTCCGTCTCAAGAAAGAAAAAAAAAGGCTG